CCTAGAAATGCAAGTTAATTAAGTACTAATAGATCTGAAATGATGGAATTGTCTCCTGGAGGACAGCCTGTGGATAAAAAGCCGATTTTAACACCTGACGGACTTGTGCAAACGAATACCACCAATAGTGCGGCTCCAGAAACAGTTTCTAATACACCATCGCCGTCATCAGGCGCAAACACAAATTTGACAGCGATTTTACCTGTCGTATACGAAATTATTCGCTGGTGGGTCCATTAACATCGTTAAGACCTGATTGATTAAATGGCATTTTTTGTTTTATTTTGATCAGTATTTGTTGTATGATTGTGTCTGTACATGACAACAAATACCTTAATTATGTAACGTAATTTTTCTTATTATCGCGATAGTGTGGAAAAAGATCCTCTTGATAACGCTGCTAAACAACGGGAGTCACAAGAGTGTAGTCAAAAAGTGAGTCATATATTGGTACTAAAATTTACAGCAATAACTACAGGTCCACAATAGATATTGGAATTGCAGAAGCGGTTTGAGATTGCTAGAGTCGAGGTAAAGCAATTGCCAGGAATAGACTACAATAAAGAAGAGCAACTTCAAAGGTTGGAACTGCTACGGAACCAGCTTAAATTAAAACAACAGCTTATCCGTAAATATAAAGATACCACGCTTTAAAATAACAGTAAAATATAAGGTGGAACTAATATAAATGCAAAATGGTATTTCGATTCTTGCTACGGTATTTGGCTAACAATGAACAGCTAATACAGCGCATGGCTGAAAGTTATCCCATGCGGCGCGCTGCTCAAATGGTTGTATCCATCATGTATCGTACAAAGAATATTGCTCAGGAGCGTGGTTTACATGAGATGACGCCCCAGCGCTTTAAGTGAGTTTTTTTTTTTTAAGAATGGTACGGAAAAAAATTAAAAAAATCCTTTAATTACAGATCTTTTATGGCTCTTTTTAAAAATAACATCAAGAAAGAAATAGAAGGACTAAAGGATGAAATAAAGAAAAAACCTTTTTGAAAAGATTATTTTGTTGGATAATAAATATTAATCTGTATGATAAAAACTGTAAAATATGAAATAAGTATAATAAGCAGGCCCAGAAAATATCCATTTTTAATTTTAATTATATAAAAATGATTCTCAAACTCAGAAAAAGTGCTGATAAGGTAAAATCCTATCGACAAAGTAGCGTACTACACATAATTTCCAAAATCATGGAAGTTCTTCATAAAATGTTGATTCCAATCATAGAAAAGCGAAAACTTATTCCCAATAAAATATTTTGGCTTCATGAAAAAACACCGCTTAATTGAACAAGTCCACAGGCTTGTTGAAAATATTTACTCTGCCGTTGACCAAAAAAATATTCTGCTGCCGGAATTCACCTGGTTGTAAATGCGCCTTATTATGTTACAAACGGGCAACTGCACCGTGATCCTAACCTCCTAACAGTTGCAGAAGAAAACAAAAAGCAAGCTCACTCTTATAATCTAAGACTGGAAACCCATCCTAACCCATTTATAACAGAAATGACTGTCCCGGCTGAAGAGATCTGCAAAAGATCGCGCGAAAGTATTCACGGCTATCACAGAATCAATCCATCGTAGTCCGATTTATGATGAAATCTACAAAAATACTATTATTGAACTCGCGTAGCTACGAACGCAGCACACA